AGTACAGTTTTGAATAAGTACAGTTTTGTATACAGTACATTTCTGTATACAGTACAGTACTGTATAAAGTACAGTTCTGTATACAGTACAGTTCTGTATACAGTACCATTCTGTGTATAGTACAGCACAACATTACAATTATATGAAATTCTCCCACCATTTGCACAATCGTACACCAAGTAATTCAAATAATAAATTAATTAAAAATTAAATAATTGTGTGGAAAATCTTTTTCAAAATATACTCTAGGAAGCCCATCGGTAAAAAAAAATTTTTTGTTTGTTTTCAGCATCATTTCAAGATGTTAATCGACAGGGCTTCCCTACTTCTAGTATAACCGTTGAATCTCTTAATTAGTCTGAACTGAAGGCTTAAATGCATTAATTCTGAAATAAAAATCTGACTGATGGAAAATGAACGATGAAGTTGAAACTTTGAGAATTTTAATTAATTCCCATGTTTTCTTGAGCATTAAGTTCAGATCTTATTGGATTAAGTATTTTATATAGAATATAAGTCGAGTCGAGAAGACGATTTATACTAACCAACCAAATCAGGAGGGGGGGGGGGGTGCTATAAGAATAAAGTTACTTAAAAGAAATATTGGTGAATTTCAAGTGACGCACTTGTCCAAATTTTGAAAATTGTCAGTTTTGCTTTGAAAAGAATTAATTGTTATCTCTCAAACAGCACTGCTTAGGTAAAGGTGTGATTTTCCGAAAATACCAATTCAAATCATTTATATTTTACTTAATGTGGATCAAATTAAACATATTGCTTTGAAATCATATACAAGGTTAACATTAAATTGAACTAGAATTCAGAGGCTATTGTAGAGAATTTATTCATTCTTGATGCTTACCTTTATGTTTCCTGCAGATGTGATATTCTCCCTTTCATTGCCAAGTCATTTAACATATCATTAGAAGACAATATTCAGAGCAGAAACCCTTTAAACCTTTAAATCGTTGAACTTATTCAAAATTTGACATTAAGGTCTCACATTTATATGTAAACTGGAACATTTTCAAATACATAAAAACATATTGATGAAATGATTCCTTGAAAGTTTCTAGTTTTAAAAAACCATCGGAATAATTGAATACCTCGAAACCATCTGAATATTTGGATATCTTGAAACCATCTGAACAATAGGATATCTAGAAACCATCTAAATAATTGGATATTTCGAAACCATGTGAATATTTGGATATCTAGAAACCATCTGAATAACAGGATATCTCGAAACCATCAGAATAATTGGATATTTCGAAACCAGCTTAATAATTGGATAACCCGAAACCATCTCAATAATTGGAAACCTCGGAACCATTTGAATAATTGGAAATCTCGAAACCAACTAAATAATTTGATACCTTGAAACCATCTGAATAATAGGATATCTCGGAACCAACTGAATAATTGTTTATCTCGAAAAAAATTGAATAATTGTATATCTCTAAACCATCAGAATAATTGGATATCTCGAAACCAACTGAATAATTGGATACCTCGAAACCATCAGAATATTTGGATATCTAGAAACGATCTGAATAATTGGATACCTTGAAACCAACTGAATAAAAGGATATTTAGGAACCAACTGAGTAATTGGATATCTCGAAACCAACTGAATAATAGGATATCTCGGAACCATCTGAATAATTGGATATCCCGAATCCATCAGAATAATGGGATACCTCGAAACCATCTGAACAATTCAATACCTCGAAACCAACTGAATAACAGAATATCTCAGAACCTTTAGTTCACTGTGAAGTAGTGCTTCAAAACGAAAAATGTCTAAAACATTTTAAAAATTGTCTTTCTATTCTTATTTTCATAAGAACCTTCTTAATAAAATTATTCCTATAAATAAGCTAACATAATTAACAGGGAAATAAGTATAAAAATAAATATATCTAGCCTCGTATTTGTCATTATACTGAAGAAAATCTAGTATTAATAATACACACTGAGGTTCCTGAAACACGAAACCTTACCATTCATCATTTCTAGGGAATAGAAAATACCAATATTAACCCATTAGAAACCACAGCTAGATGAATTATTTCCAATAAAGAAACAATATCTGTTTCTGCAATCAGTATAGTGGCTTTACTAACTATAAACGGCAAATATTATTGTTAGTTTGTAAACAATGTTGATAGCTTGATTAATTTATATTAACATGAATAGTTTGTAAATAAAATGGAGGGTTTGATGTGTTTGCTAAAAATAGGATAGTTTGTAAACAATGTTGGTTAGTTTGCTAAAAAGAGGATAGTTTGTAAACAATGTTGGTTAGTTTACTAAAAAGAGGAAAGTTTGTAAACAATGTTGGTTAGTTTACTAAAAAGAGGAAAGTTTGTAAACAATGTTGGTTAGTTTGCTAAAACGTGGATAGTTTGTAAACAATTTTGGTTAGTTTGCTAAAAAGAGGATAGTTTGTAAACAATTTTGGTTAGTTTGCTAAAAAGAGGAAAGTTTGTAAACAATGTTGGTTAGTTTGCTAAAACGTGGATAGTTTGTAAACAATTTTGGTTAGTTTGCTAAAAAGAGGATAGTTTGTAAACAATGTTGGTTAGTTTACTAAAAAGAGGATAGTTTGTAAACAATGTTGGTTAGTTTACTAAAAAGAGGATAGTTTGTAAACAATTTTGGTTAGTTTGCTAAAAATAGATAGTTCATAACTAAGAAGTACAGATTTTTAACTGTAAGAATAATATAGTTAGTTTGTTAACAATATGGATAATATGGTTAATTTGTTAAACAATTTGGATAGTTAGGTTAGTTGTATACAACATGGATAATTTTGGTAGTTTGTAAGCAATGTTGACAGTTTAGTTAGTTTGTAAACAATATGGATATCTTAGTTAGTTTGTAAACGAAATTGATAGTCTAGTTAGTTGTAAACAATATTGATAGTTTAGTTGGTTTGTTAACAATATGTTTAGTTTAGTTAGTTTATAAACGTTATTGATAGTTTAGTTAGTTTGTTAGCAATGTTGATAGTTTAGTTAGTTTGTTAACAATATGGATAGTTTAGTTATTTTTAAGCAATGTTGATAGTTTAGTTAGTTTGTTAACCATATGAATAGTTTAAGTTAGTTTGTAAACGATATTGATAGTTTAGTTAGTTTGTTAGCAATGTTGATGGTTTATTTAGTTTGGATAGTTTTAGTTAGTTTGTAAACAATATGGAAAGGTTATTTAGTTTGTAAACAACATGGATAGTTAGGTTAGTTTGTAAACATGGATAATTTGGGTAGTTTGTAAGCAATTTTGACAGTTTAGTTAGTTGTAAGCAATGTTGATAGTCTATTTAGTTTGTTAACAATATGGATAGTTTAGTTAGTTTGTGAACAAAATTGATAGTTTAGTTAGTTGTAAACAATGTTGATAGTTTAGTTAGTTTGTTAACAATATGGATGGTTTAGTTATAGTTTGTAAGCAATATGGATAATTTAGTTAGTTTGTAAGCAATATGGATAGTATAGTTTGTTAACAATATGGATAGTTTAGTTAGTTTGTTAACAATATGGATAGTTTAGTTAGTTTGTTAACAATGGATGGTTTAGTTATAGTTTGTAAGCAATATGGATAATTTAGTTAGTTTGGATAGTTTAGTTAGTTTGTTAACAATATGGATAGTTTAGTTAGTTTGTTAACAGTATGGATAGTATAGTTAGTTTGTTAACAATATGGATAGTATAGTTAGTTTGTTAACAATATGGATAGTTTAGCTACAGTGAAACCCTTAATAACGAATACATCGAAAGAATTCATCAAATGTCGTATTCTTCACTTTCTGATAATGGAATGTTGCAGATATTTAGTTTAATTAAATGATTATATGGAACTCTTTAAAACTGTTCCCGCATATTCATGGTTATTTATTTATTTTCGCAAATACTGAAATTTACGAATTATAGTATGAAGTCAAGACGACATTTTATAAATTGTTCCGATGTATTCGTTATTAAGGGTTTCACTGTAGTTTGTTAACAAAATGGATAATGTGGCTAATTTGTAAACAATATAGATATTGGATAATTTGGTTAGTCATGGATAGCATGGCAATTTAAACATGTAAGTCCGATTACCTCCTTGAGAAAAGTCCGAAATTAAATTTACATTTTATTAAATATCATCAAAGTTTATATAATGCTGTGTGCAAATGGTATCATTCAATGGCTAAATATTAAAAAGTAACAAAACATAATATAATATTAAAATACCCTAAAAGGGACTGGATTAGAAACTGAAATAATAAAACATATTTTTGAGATTCTTTAAACTTTTCAAGTTTAATGAAAACAAGAAATGATTATTAATGCAAATAATTTAAATTTTGTGAACTAGTTTTTCATATTTTTTTAATAGTGGGAACAGGGGTAAAAGAGCTAAATAATACAACAGGGCTAGAGAAATATAAAGCTCACTGTTGTACAAAAACGTACAACTTAATCATAAATGCAATTTTACAGACAGTAAAGTTGTACAACTAAATATCACTTTTATGGCATTGTTAAACACATGTTGTGAGTATTTTTACATTTAAAGAACTTGTAGATTGATTCTGAAGTATATCCTTAATTTAACAACGAATCAAAACAAGAGTAATAATTTTTTCTAATAACTGATTCGTCTTTTTCCCATTATATTAGATTTTTTCTTCACTATATTTTCAGGTGTGAATACTTGTGCATAGTGACGCTAATGTACATCGCTTAATCTCGATATTCAGTATAACAACTTAAATTAATCCGTAGCTTAGGTCACAGGATGATGAATGGATATCAATGGTTTTCCCCAAGATTTACATCACAAAATTGTTGACCTCATTACAGATTTAACAGTGTACGTACTACTTATACACAAAAAAATCTAAATATTAGACATTTTCTCCAAAAAAAAGCTAGAAAAAAAGAACATTGTTATTAGAAATTTCTCCGTTAACTTTGCATTTGGTGTTTTTGTGAAATTCAAAAATATACTTCAGAATGATTTCAAACAAATTCTTTTAAAGCATTAAAAAGAAGGACCCTGGTTCGATGATTAAACTATTCTGACTGGTGAACCAGAGCGAGGGGGCAGGACAGGGGAGGGCGGGGCAGGAATAAGTTTGCTGAGATTCTTCTTATATCTGAGAGCAGTAGGCCGGGCTGCAGGGTTCTCCGTCCAGCCTTCCTTTACTAATCTGGAGATATACGTCATACTCTCACTAAACAGAAAAATATAAAATTAATATAAAAATCCTAACAGTTGAAGAAAAAAGGGATTTGATTTTAAAAGCATTGGTCGGAACTTTTTATTCCAAAGCGCAATCAAAAAAAAAACCTGAGCTTCGGAAACATTTTTTTCAGCAGTCAAACCTCTCTTTGGTTTAATCTGCCGGATTAAAGGAATAGAGTTTTCTGAACGGATTACCGATAACAAGTTCCGATCTCTGGGTTCGAATTATATGAAAAAATTGAGATCGAAATATATTCTAGATGAAGAGAATATTGATGAAAAAAAATGCTCTTTTACCTTTTAGCCCATCTGTCAGGAATGTGTGGGCGAATCTTCTTTACACAAACAGCATTGTACATTTCTAGTGTCGAGGGGTCAGGGGGTACACAGCAAAAATATGGAGGTTCATAACTTTCCACCTCATCCTAAATACATTCATATTTTTTATACTTTCATTTTAGAAACAATTCATTTTAATTTCCCTTTGTAGATTCTAATTTACATTCTTTAAACATTAAAACATATTTTAAAACAAAATAATAGACCGCAGGCGCGGTATATCAAATATGGAATCAAATAAAGTAAAGAACTTTTTAAATTAATGGCGGAAATAAAGATAAGATATTATTTGTAGAGAGTAGTTGGAGAAAAGAAATTAAAGCTGATGCAAGAAAGTTTTGCAATTTATTTAGTAATTAAGTTGTAAGATACTCGCTGTTTGGTTTGGCTAGAAACTTGTAGATTAGGTTTCTTAAATCTAGTTGTTTGGTTTGGCTAGAAACTTGTAGATTAGGTTTCTTAAATCTAGTTGTTTGGTTTGGCTAGAAACTTGTAGATTAGGTTTCTTAAATCTAGTTGTTTGGTTTGGCTAGAAACTTGTAGATTATGTTTCTTAAATCCTGTTGTTTGGTTCAACTCACATATCATCCCAGGGAAAGATTTAAAAAAACTGCCGAGGAAAATTTTTGACCTTTGAAAATTATTTTGAAAATCTACCAATAGAAATGCGAAAATTTATAATTGTTATTTTTAAATGTACGATGACATATAGATTTGCACCAAAGCTAAAATGTTTACTAGAAATTATGACGCATTTAATATGTCAAGCTTGGATTATTTAATATAAATTTTTAAACATAAAAAAAATCGAGTTTGTGTCAAAACTTAATTTTTCATTTTTGTAAAAGAAAATGGCAAAATTAAAGAAATATTTATAAACCAAATTCGTACACAATTTTGTACATTACGGATCCCGGATCCGGCTCACTGATATTATAGTAAATAAATACCTTCTTATCTGATGTTCTTGTTCTCCTGCCTATCTCCCAGAGGACCAAGGAGAAGGAGTAAATATCCGCGGATTTATACGATTCAAAGGACGAGGGTTCCAGGGTCTCCGAGAGAAGCTCTGGAGCCATGTACCTTCTTGTACCGACTCTGGAAAAAATATATAAAAAATTAATAAAATCTCTTAAAAATGTCTTTTTAAAAAAGAATCTTAAAATTTGCAAGATGTGACAAAAGACAGGGTATCGTTATGAAAACCAATTTTATAACCCAGGTTTCACTAATGGGGTTAGGCAGTTTTGTGATAATCAATATTTGTGTTATGAAATATCATTTTATTTAGTTTCTACATATTCTCCATTTTTTTCGAATCTCTTAAATCAAAATCTACACAAATACCAGGACCCCATAAAGGAATCTCGAGAGTTTGATTCAACAATACTCTTTTAAATTTCAGGTTCTGGGTTTCACATTTGAAGGGATTTTAAAATCAATAATTTGTTGCGCGTGTTTATTTAGATCTAACAGATTGGATTAGCACAATTGTTATTTATGATTAATATGTCAATATTTACCTATTATTCGGCTGAATATCCACCTGCCCAGTTTCCCCAGTATATCTCACGGCCAACCCAAAATCGGCAATGGCCGCCGTTCCATCGTTTTTCACCAATATATTTCTAGATTTAATATCCCGGTGGGCTATAGCAGGTTTCCCTTTACTGCCAAATATCTCTGTATGAAGATGAGAAAGACCGCAAGCTATGGAATGTGAAAGGATGGCGGCCTGCTCGGTGTCCAAGGTGTTCCTGTTCAAGTAGTCGTGAAGAGATCCTAGCTCGTGATAATCTGTAACCAGGAGAAGTTGGGTCCAACCCCCTGAACCCTTGATATCTGCTGCTATAAAACCAAGGATATTGTTGTGGCGCATCAACACCGTCTGAAATAGTTAAATAATAAAAAAGAGGGCAATTTTACTGCCGCAAATTCAAATTTTCGAATCACTATATCATTCCAGCCTGATGGTGTGAACCTTTTTATAGTAAAAAAAATGCCCCCAATTAATTTTCTTTTTAATTTCCACTAACACATTTGCCTCCAATTAGGGAAAAGATGCCCCCAATTAAAAAAAAACATTTTCAAATTCCACTAACACATTTGCCCCCAATTTAAAAAAAAAATTATACTGATAACTTAGAATATTTAATCTAAAAGACTTCAAAGTTTGAAATATCTAAGGTCTACGGTCTTGGGTTGCAAAGATATAAGAATTAAAAAATCAGGGTCTTTAGTATGAACAATATTAGATAAACAATATTAGACTAATGCATGAGATAACTAAAAGAATAAGAATTAAAGATATTGGAACTTAATGGAAAGATTTTCTAAAAGAAAGGATTTTTTCTTTTTGTTCTTTTATTTCTGCATTGTTAGGCGTCCTTTCAACTTTGTTTACTACTGGTGCAGATTACGGGAGAAATTGGATCCAGAGAAAAACTTTTAAACCTTTTATCTTAGTTCCATTTTAACCCCTACTCTTAGATACCTGATAAAATGTTACAGAACCCTTCTCAACTCTTAGATGCTACAGAACCCTACTATACTCTTAGTTGTTACAGAACCCTACTCTACTCTTAGATGTTACAGAAACCTTCTCTACTCTTAGATGTTACAGAACCCTACTATACTCTTAGATGTTACAGAACCCTACTCTACTCTTAGATGTTACAGAGCCCTTCTCTACTCTTAGATGTTACAGAACCCTACTATACTCATAAATGTTACAGCACCCTTCTCTACTTTTAGATGTTACAGAACCCTACAATACTCTTAGATGATACAGAACCCTTCTCTACTCTTAGATGTTACAGAACCCTTCTCTACTCTTAGATGTTACAGAACCCTACTCTACTCTTAAATGTTACAGAACCCTACTCTACTCTTATATGTTACAGAACCCTACTATACTCTTAGATGTTACAGAACCCTACTATACTCATAGATGTTACAGAACCCTTCTCTACTCTTAGATGTTACAGAACCCTACTATACTCTTAGGTGTGGCAGAATCCTACTTTACTCTCAGATGCTAAGAAACCCTACTTTACTCATGATGTTACAAAACACTGCTTTAATCTTAGATGCTACAGAACCCTATTTTACTCGTAGATGATCTTCTCTGAGATGACATACTCTTAGATTTTCTTCTCTGAGATGGCATACTCTTAGATGTTACAGAATCCTAATTTACTCTTAGATGATACAGAACCCTATTTTACTCTTAGATGATCTACTCTTAGATGTTATAGAGCCCTAAATACTCTTAGATGCTACAGCACCCTACTTTACTCGTAGATATTTCAAAACTTACTTTATTTTTAGATACTACAGAACCCTACTTTACTCTTGGATGATATACTCTACTCATTATATATTATGTTACAGAACCCTACTTCACTCCTTATGTTACAGAACCCTATTTTACTCTTACATGTTACAGAACCAAGCTACTCAAAGATGTTACAGAACCCTACACTACTTATAGATGTTACAAAACCCTACTTTATTCTAAGATGTTACACATCCTTACTTTATGCTTAGATATAATAGAACCCTAATTTACTCATTATGTTACAGAACCCTACTTTACTCTTAGATATTATAGAACCCTAATCTACACATTATGTTACAGAACCCTACTTTACTCTTCGATGTTATAGAACCCCAATCTACACATTATGTTACAGAACCCTACTTTACTCTTCGATGTTATAGAACCCCAATATACACATTATGTTACAGAACCCTACTTTACTCTTCGATGTTATAGAACCCTAATCTACTCATTATGTTACAGAACCCTACTTTACTCGAAGATAGAGAACCCAACTTTACTCAAGAAAAATACGAATGAAAGAAAGAGAAAATATCTTTTCAACCGTTTTAAGACTTGTAAAAATATGCAAAAATTCTACCGCTATTTCATTTTGTCCTTTCTTGTTCTTTGAAAATTTGAATTCTATTTAGCAGAAGGTTTCGTTGGGAATCCTGCTTTCTTTTGCATTGTTGCCTTTATCTTAAATGAATCTGGTCAAGTTGTTATACAACAATACTAAAATTAAACTGTTTGCACTTCCTTATCTTTCTTTTTTCCTTTAGTAAAGATTAGATTATGTTTAATGTACTGTGCTTGTAGTATATTTATATAGGGTTAGAATTAGTAAAGAAGAATTTCCTAATAACACAATTTATTATAATTATCACGGACGAAACGATATATGTTTCTGGCTTCTTTTACATCACTATATTTTCAGTAGAAGTAAATATTTCCATTTACTGATAGCGCCGATTGAAGGTTTCATAACTCTGATTGGATAATGAGATAGATAAATGTTACCGCTATACTATTTTTATTGGTTCAGAAAAGACAACAAACACATGACTGAACCCTGATTGGATCAGGCGCTAATGGACTTGGGATATAGGAGTGTACAAGTAAAATACAAAAATCGTTACATTAAAATTATTTTAGATTTTTCGTTTTAATACCTGATATATTTCTGTCTCTCTGAACCAAGAAGCCTCTTCTGTTGTATAAAAAACCTTAAACAAATTTACATCGTTACTGCAGGAAAGCTATATTTATTTCCTAAAGCTCTTCGCTCATATATATTTTTATATGTAGATATGTATGTATATGTTTTTCAAACTTCGATTTTTTTATTCTTCGGGCAACGCCGGGAACTTAAGCAGCTAATATAAAGATATTTCACCACATAAATAACTAATTGCAGTGACATATGTTGAAAACAGTATTCAAGAGAAAATCTGAAAATAATTTACATTGACAGAAATATTGCGCTAATGAGAAGAATAATAAGTATAAATTGTATACATACATTCACACACATACATGCATTACTCAATTATGAACAGAGGAAAAAATAACTATTATTTTGGTTCGCAGTGCTACATAGTTTTTTATCAGACATTTTTTCTTTAATCGAAATTATATTTATCCCCAAGCTTTAGTATACGAACAGAGAAAATTTAAGTCAAAAAACTTTTTAACATATCGTGTCAAAATAACAGTAGAACAAGTAATTTTATGGCATGTTTGTTCTTTTATTGTCTTAAATGATTATTTCCAATTACAGCAAGATTTTTTACAAACCAGAAATTAAAAAAAAAATCATTATAATTTTAAGAAGAATATTAAAGAAAATTTCTAAAAAAATTTTAATTTTTTTTGACATTTTTTTACCTTAACTGCTACCCGTTCCCCTCTCCATGTAGCTAACCAAACCTCTCCATATCTACCATGCCCAATTTTTTCAACCATTTGAACCTGAAAACAGTTTATACTTAGATCTTTCAAATCAAATCAACTTATTTAGATCTTTCAAATCAATTAAATTTATTTAGATCATTTAAATAGTTTAAATTCCGGATAACCCAAAAACATAACATCCTAAATTTTGGAATTAAAAACACAAATCAACAAGTTTTAGAGACATTTTTGATTAGATGAAAAATTATGAATGTGGTTTAATTTGAGTCGGATATTGGATTCGCAACTTTTGAACAAACCACCCCCGCCCCCGGCATCAATTGGAGCTCAGAAAATATGACAGACTTGTGTTTGAACCAATGAGAATTAGAAAAAAAGGGGAAAAAATCAGCCGTATCTAGGTCAACTACTTTTTTCTAATTCATAAGTTGTTAGTTGAAATGTGTGCAGTTTTCTACCTGTTTAGCAATTGTTCTCTGAACCAGCAAGGGAAGCCCTGCTCCTGTTCCACTGGATTGTTCCAAGAGTTCCTTTAATGACCCCCCTGGACCCAGCCCTGCATCTGACTGATGCGCCTGCCTGTAAATATACCGCTGCCGGTCAATCTCCCGTCGTTTATATTTCAGATAAAGACAGGTTACGAAGAATACAAGAGATACAACACATACAGTGACAGTACAGAGAAGAACAAGGTGGAATACAGCAGGATTAATACCTCCTGTTCCTCCTGTATCCTCATATTCTTCATAGTCGTCCTTACGCTCGTACATCGGGTAAAGTTGGCGATTACAAAAGTCCCCGGATTTGCAGCATTCTATCGACAGTGGGGTTGCATGAGGGGACAGGTTTCCTCGACACATCATGAGTCCACGCTCCTCTGGTGGCAGACAACCGTAGGTTCGTTCTGCGACAAGAGTGTCCGTCTCGGAGTCGTAAACTTCTTCGGCGGAGGCGAAGCATCCGGCTCCAGGGGGAGCCACGCAGGTCCCATTTCTAGCCCCATCAGGACATATACCTTGGCAGTAACACAGCATACCTGAATCAAAAAAAAGTTTTAATTTATTAAACGTTTAAAATATTTTAATGAATTGGTGGTATTAAAACAAAAAATTTAAACCACTAAATTTTAAAACAAAAATTGTTTAGAACACAGATACAATGGAAAATATTTGCATCCGGCAAAAAAAAATAAGTTTTTACTGAGATAATGAAACCTATGCTGAAAGATCAAAATAAGTTAAAGCGAAATAAAACCTTTTTTTATGAATAACACATTTTCTTGAAACCAGTATTGGATTGATTCATTTATAAACAGAAAAGTTTGAGTGAGGCTCGAAGGTGTCACATTGTCACATTGTAATATAGTTAAAGATCTTGTTACCCCCCCCCCCCCCTATTATCCTAAAATTGTAGATCTGGGCTTGTAATACAAGGGTTTACTGGGGTAATAACACGTTATACTGCAGTATAGGGCGGTAACCGTGGTAATTGGACGAAACACGCAATCCGGCGCACTGGCACGCTCAACAAATTCGTTTATAAATTAAATCCCGGTGGAGTGGAATTAAAAACCATCCTGTTTATTAGGGTTTTCCATTAATTTAGTAATATAAAACTAAGATCGTGTATGATTGCTTGTAAATCCTGAGTTTACCAAGAAATGTTTTGTAAATTCTAAATCTGTTTTTGCGCTCTCTACCTAGTCCGTTGTGGAACACAAGACGGCGGAAAATTTAAATTATAATTATTAGCCTGGTGAAATATTATGTCATAAACTTTAGCCCTCAGACATAAGCTGTGCTTGGGATGGTTTGTATAATATTAAATGCAGGGGGCAAGGGGGTAATGATCCTACAGATAAAGGAGTATTGAAAAAACTGCGAAATTGTAACATTATTAATATGTTGAACCCTTTCAGAGTCAAAACATACTTTAGGCCAAAACAAAATTAGATTATTATTAAAAAGATTTAGAATTGTTTTTACAAAAAGATAAATCTTGAAAAGTTATATATTTTAAACAATGCTTATTTTACGTAATTATCTTTTATTTTGAAGAAGTTATGTTATTTCTCTGTGAGTTATAAAGGAATAAAAATAAATCTGAAATAGAAAAATATGTGAGTATGACTGAATTTTGTTGAGTATTTGCAAGAAAAGAATTCAAGTTATTTTTATTTTGATAAAATCTAATTCTATTCCAAGGATGAGAATATCCAAGCTCATATTCCACTGAATAAACATTTTTTTATTATTTCCAGAACCGGGGAAATCTGAATTCTAAATTCAGAGGTTTCATAATTTCTGTGACATTCTCTTATTTAACCCACGTTCCACCAACACCTTAGAATTTATAAATCTTAAAGAGAACCGCACTCATTTTCCTTAATTCTAACACTGATTTAATAAAGTACATTACACTGTTTAAATAATTCATGTCCACACTTAAACTGTTTAAATAATAATAAAAAAAACAAGTTAATTTTCAACAACAAAAAGGTGAAATGTGCCCAGGGTTAGATAATCTCAGCTCTGATTACCGGATTTTTACAAGAACCGCGGGTTTAGAGAGGAGAATGTTAATTGGAGTTCAAATCCTCGGCTATACGCTCAACTGCCTCGTTATTATGAATATTTAATATATTTTACATCCCCATTAACATTCACCACCCCCCCCCCCCCAACATAATTTTAGATTTAAATTTGCCCTTCTAATGGTGATAAGTGAAGCAATATTCGATATCTAAGGAAAATGAGGAATGAACGTGTAACCCTTAATGTTTTAACTTTTGATTTTACATAAAGTTCTAAAAATGTTGAAGAACCAAATTAAATAAATATTGAGAAGTAGTTGAACTAAGTTGAGTAGGTTGAACTAGTTCTTTTCAAATTAAGCTGACGCACAAGAGAAGTGATTTTATGGATGTAACAGTAACTTGGTGTAACTGGTATTTGTTAAGTTATATAAAGAGTCTTTAAAAAGACGACTTTTACTTCATTTTTACTGGTAAAAGCTGTATAAAAAGCGTTTTTTTTTAGTCTGCCCCCCCCCCCCGCCCCCCTTCTTGCCGTTAAAAACTGGATTATTCCTGGGCCCGGCCATTATGAAGATATAGGATAGGGAGAGACTAGAGATTTCATTCATAAATTGAATATATTTAACTGCCTAGCGTAGGAGTGGTTCTTGTACACCTTAAAAAAATATATTCTTCATCAAATATTTTTTAAACAAATAAATTCACCACAATTTTTACAAAAAAAAGATTAAATGTATTTTTTTTAAAATTGCGGTTTATTAGACCTGTAAAGGCCTAGACATATACAATATACAATATACAATATACATACAAGGATTCATCCTTCTTCTCACTAGCTTTCTCTCCATTCATTATTTTCTACATGAAGCAGGATGAATGAATCAATTAATGTAAAAGGATGAAAGTATCAAGGAATTAAAAATTATGAATGTATGAAAATGAAAGGATGAATGCAAATGAAAGAATGAATGCAAATGAAAGGATGAATGTAAATGAAAGGATGAATGCAAATGAAAGGATGAATGCAAATGAAAGAATGAATGCAAATGAAAGGAGGAATGAAAATGAAAGGATGAATGCAAATGAAAGGATGAATGTAAATGAAAGGATGAATGCAAATGAAAGGATGAATGAAAATGAAAGGATGAATGAAGATGAAAGGATGAATGAAAATGAAAGGATGAATGAAAATGAAAGGATGAATGAAAATGAAAGGATGAATGCAAATGAAAGGATGAATGAAAATTTAAGGATAAATGTAAATTAAAGGATGAATAAAATTGAAAGGGTGAATGTAAATTTAAGGATGAATGTAAATTTAAGGATGAATGTAAATTAAAGGATGAATGCGAATGGGAGAATGAATGCAAATGTAAGGACGAATGAGAATGAAAGGATGAATGCAAATGAATAAAAAGATGGATGAGGATGATTAAAAGAATGAATGCAAATGAATAAAAGGATGAATGCAAATGAATAAAAGTATGAATGCAAATGAATAAAAATATGAATGCAAATGAATCGAAATGAATAAAAGGATGAATGCAAATGAATGGAAATGAATAAAAGGATGTCTGAAAATGAATAAAAGGATGTTTGAAAATGAATAAAAGGATGAATGCAAATGAATAGAAATTAATAAAAGAATGTTTGAAAATGAATAAAAGGATGTTTGAGAATGAATTAAAGGGATGAATGCAAATAAAAAAAGGGATTGGGATAAATGAATGAATGAAAGAATGAAGAAATGATGAATTAAAAATAATTAATGAATTCAGAACATTATGAATGAATGAATTGCATTGAAATGAAGTATCAATATTTAAAAGGATAAACTTATATGGAGACAAAAAAAAAGAGAAAAATGAGAATAGAGGAATTCTGTCCAAACCGGGTACTTCTAGTTACAAAACAATCAATTCTGTATATTTAATATAGAAAATTAAACATTTCATTTGGTATAATTAGTTTAAATTCAATAGTTCTCATTGTTTTATATTTGCTTCTAATGGAAAAAAAGCTTAAGAAAATTAATACATTTTTTCTTTATACACATACTTTTCCCGCATTCTTAACTTTTGCGCTTAAGAATATATATCTTAATACATCCTTCGATGTGATTTTCTGAATCTTCTTTATTTCAAAACTTAGAATTTTATCTTTAAAAAAGCCCCCCTCCCCCCTCCCCGTAAAAAAGGTTATGAAACGTCTTAAATATTATAAAGGATTGGGGGGGGGGGGGTAGAATTCAATATTATTCGTGACTAGCATAAGACGAAATAATTACAGATAATTGCATGCATGTCAATCGAGCAAAAAACTGAATATTTTCCCTTTTCTCTGTGTTTCCAATATTTCTATGAATTAATTTAAATAATTCGTTCAAAATTTTACTTTTTACTTTCTGCTATATTTCTTGGGAATAAGAATCAGCTATAATAACACAGTAGATGCTTGTTATAGAGGCATCCAGGGTGCTTCTTACCCAACTTTAATATGCTGTTTACTATATGTTTCTAATTTAATGTACAACAATGTATCTAATGTAATATAATAACAATTTACAAACATTCTGTAGATAAATAGAGATTTGAATTAGAATAAAAATGTTCTAAATCTCAAAGTTTATGTATCAGCATTTTTATTTTTTGAAAGAAAAGCTTAAAACTGATATTTAATTATGATTTAATTGCAATCTTTTCACCAAATTTCACAATTTCCATATCTTTTTTAATTTTTACCTGTTTTTAATAGATTAGTAAACTTGTTGGGAACCAAAGTTTGTCACTCGGAAAATCATTTTTAAGTTTGAATTCACAATACTTTCCAATCGAGTTGTCGAGAAATATTCACCAAAATCTGGGAAATGTTTTGAGTAAAATCCTCGAAATTTCAAAGTATCTGAGTGGGTGCGGTACTACAGAACTGAACAGCCTATGTTAACTGACGAGCTCAGTTACACTCAGGGTCTACAGAGAAACCCATTTAGTTTACTATCTTATGGGGCTTTGGAGGAAAAGGAAATTAAAATATTTTGAAAACTTTTTACAATACATATTTTGTCGTTTTATGAAGGTTTCTTATCTTTCCACAACTACTAGTTTTCCTTCTAACCCTGAAGCGTAAACTACACTAATGTGTTAAAATGGATGTATTGTGGGGGTGTCGACTTCCTTTATTCATTCATTCTTCATATTCTTTCTTCAATCTTAATATTCTTCCTTTATTCATTCATTCTTCATATTCTTCCTTCATTCATTCATTTATTCTTTATCCTTTTTTCCATATTCTTCCTTCATTCATTTATTCCCAGAAACCTTATTTTACAATCAGCATTCAGAGCGTTTACAAATTTTATTCTAAAATTTTGTAATTTGTTTTCAATTCTTCACAACATTCTCTCTGTTATTTGAAAATTTTGTAAAAGCAGAATATATAAAGTCTAGAGTTTAGTTCATGAATAAACTTGAAATTCAAAATAATCTGTAAAATATGTTATGAATGTTTTCTGCATTTTCCTCCTTTCTAATATAGTTCAATATTAAGAATATCTGTAATAGTCTTCCATGTAAAATGATTTGCTTCCTGTGCATACTTCTTCACATTTTATTCATTCTTGGAATGTGTTGCTTTCTTTTTTCCTTTGAGACCTGTGATATGTTCGCAAATGAAGGAATTTAGGCTGCTTCGCGCACCTTGTCCACGGAGTTTCAGTCTGGCTAACTAATATCTAACTGACTAGCAAGGAATGGATCTGCTAGATATCTATAGATCTGATTATACGATCTTTATGAACTAGCAAATCATTTCCATATTTTTTATATCCATATTTATTTTAGCTAACTAGTTATCTTATTTTTTATAACCCGCAAGGTTTCCATCTATCTGCATCTACATAAATAAATGTTTATAAATCTACTAGTATAAACTAGCCTAAACTCACCATATTTCTGACTATCTATCTGTATCTACATAAATAAATGTTTATATATCTACTAGTACTATATAAACTAGCCTAAACTCCTCATGTTTCTGTCTATCTATCTGTATCTGTATTGTAATAGAGATTTTGTCCGACACAAATTCTCTCATTTGTTCGGGGGTTGATGGGGGTCGGGTGGAGAAGGGGGGAGAGGTTTAAATGAGATTTTGAAAAAAGATTTTAATACTGATAGACCAGGGATATTCCTCCCTTTCTCTAATCTCAGGTTGTGACGTCATGAGTCCAGCTCTGCTAGACAGTGTGGCTACATCCTAGCTATCTATGCACTATCCTGTATAGGCCTTTCTTTCTATCTATCGATCCACGCGTGTATCTAAAATCAGCTAAAGCTCAATTTATCTATCTATCTTTATGATACAGGTTCTAGTTTTTATTATAGCTAATTTTAAGCATAGCTGTTGCACGTAATAGGACATTCATAAAAAGTATTGTCATCAAGATATTTATGGGACTGAGGGAGGATTCTTTTAATTGAACTTATTTGAGCCAATTTAATTGAGATTAAAGTTACCCATTCTTGCAGGTTGACCCCTCCAAGATTAGGATATATAATTGACCAATGATATTAAAATTTAAATAATTCTATTATTAAAGTTCTAGGAAAGAAATAGAGTTTTAAGAACAAAAATCACGATTTGTTTTTGTTCTATATTTACCTAGAACTTATTCAATTGATTTATAGTTTTCAGTTGTTGACCAAAACAATTTAATACAATTACTGTTCACAACGGAAAATGTGAATTTTAAATTTAATTAATTTAAAAAGGAGATAAGCCGAGTGGATTATTGAATAGTGTACTTTTAGAACTTTTTGTCAATGTTTATAAAACAGGAATGTATGAATTCACATTAATTAAAGAACTACAATGAGAACCAGAAAAATCTAGAATAGGAATACGTCTTATAGACTCAAGTTATGATTTTATAATGGACAATACACATTAGGCATGTAATAAATGCCTTACTCCAATATTTCTCTATAAGTGTGTATTTATCCACACACAAAGCTATCAGACTCTATCCTCTCTACCGAACCCTGGTAAATCTAAGTGTATATTTATCCACACACAACGCTATTAAACTCTATCCTCTCTACCGAACCCTGATAGGTCTAAGTGTATATTTACCCCCACACAAAGCTATAAAACTCTATCCTCTCTACCGAACCCTGGTAGGTCTAAGTGTATATTTATCCACACACAAAGCTATTAAACTCTATCCTCTCTACCGACCACTGGTAGGTCTAAGTGTGTATTCATCCACACACAAAGCTATAAAACTCTATCCTCTCTACCGACCACTGGTAGGTCTAAGTGTGAATTTATCCACACACAAAGCTATTAAACTCTATCCTCTCTACCGACCACTAGTAGGTCTAAGTGTATATTTCTCCACACAAAAAGTTCTAAAACTCTATCCTCTCTACCGAACCCTGGCAGGTCTAAGTGTATATTTATCCACACATAAAGCTATTAAACTCTATCCTCTCTACCGAACCCTGGTAGGTCTAAGTGTGTATTTATCCACGCATGATATTTCCATCACCACTTATCATTTTAACAGTGATTTCTTAGAATAAATTTGTTAATGTTCTTAATTGTATATATTTTATACTGAACATTTATGAGTGCAATTAGATTAAATAGACAATTATGAATATGTTAAGCTTAACTTAATCAATTATTGAAAAACAGATTCAATGAAATACTTATAAAATGAGATAATTTTATCAATATTTTCTAAAAATGTTTAAAAATTTCAAATTGTCCAAGATGAGCAAAATTTGTACCAAATTGCGTGAAATAGGTTTTAATTAACAGTTGTAAAATTGCTCCAAATTGAACATTTTTGTTTATTTTAGTTCAAGGTTTTTTCTCTGAGAATTCTGCCTTTAAATGCAATTAATTTCTAATGAGAAGGAAGGATGGGTTTTGCATTTAATCAATTAAAAATAAATTAATTTGTTGCTTCATTGAGAAATAAAATAATTAACGAATTTTAAATTATTTACAAAAAAAAATTCTTTTCATGTTTCAAGTTCCAAATGTTTATGTAAAAGTGATTTTTACCAAGGAGAAATGAGAATTTTCCGGTATGAATGCAAGATAAGGAAAACTAAACAATTTAGTATTGTAGTATATTGAAAGATTTTTCTCACTGTTATTTAGCCTAATTTGATTGCACACATTAATTTCATTGGTTAAAAGATAATTTTGATTTTATTGAAAGGGAGTGACCGGCCAGACATGGTAGATGAGTTGAGAGTGTAGTATTAAAGAGAAATGTTATAGGATTCATTTGATACCAATAAGACGTTTTTGGGTGTAAAATTGCCGAGTAAAAGCGCAAAATCGATCTTTAAAATTCTCCATTTTGGAGTACATATTTGCTCAATCATAACGACGAAAAATGTAACAAAAATTCTGCAGTAAACTAATTAGGTCTATGAAATTCAAGAAATCTACGGAAATGTTTGTGAACAATAGACATTATAGAATTCAATACCTGAACAAGATAAATTTTTTGCGATGATAAGAGTTAATTTTTATTTTATCAACCTTTCCTAAACAGCTGATAAGTTTACTGTAACAATTAGTAACATTTTTATGGCCGTTATTGAATAATACAAAAAACGATTCTCAAAATGATCCCTCAGAATTGGCATTTGCTTGAGGATTTTGAAAAGGAATTTTGTAAAGGCATACACAAGGTGATTAAGCTTCTCTAGGACTCTCTCCGATGTGTTAAAACTGTTAGTCGCAAAATATATTTCAAACCTGAAACAAGGACGATTTAATTACAATGTTTCTGGAGTTACAAAATGCGAGTATTTGTTTTAATAAAAAAAATAGCAAATGATCAACTTTAAGAAACACAAATGGTAAAGGATACAGTTTAAGGTTGTTGAATGAGCGGAGTAAATATTTATAAACTGATAAGTTGATACTATCGAAATAAAGTTCCGAACATTGTTGTTATGATTGTATTTGAAAGGGTAACTTACTATTAGGTCTTAACACACTCGAAATAGAGAGGTGATTGATTTGTGACTAAAACATAATTGTCTTCTGAAAATAATTGCTTGTTTAAAAAAAAGAAGAAAGATTGTTTTCACTTGGAATTTTAACTTATTTCACTTTAACATGAGCGGTTTTGGTACACAATCGAGTATCAGGGTTGGGGGGGTTGGGTTTGGTGTGTATGTCTCCGTGAGAGAAATAAATCCTTGGCAAACCTGGTAAAGACGACTTTCAAAGGCTCTGGGGAGTTTAAAATGATTTTGTTCAACAAATTTGCGCTCTTCACGAGCAACTATACACTGTTAGGTCGTCTCAAATGAACCCTGAAAAAGTTATTTACAATACCGCACTCTCAACTCAACTTCCATGTCTAGCTGGTCTTTCCCTTAAAAAGTCGCCTGTTTATGGGATAGAAATGTTCAGACGAGCACTTTTTTTCAGATGTGCTATTCTACATTATTTAAAATTATGACTTTAAACGTTTTTCAAAGAAAATATTGGAACAATGATAAGCTATTGATATTTATTTTATTATTACTATATTTCAGCTCAAAGTAAGTAGAACTAAGGCGGGGACAGGGGTGGGGTTTATATTCGTTCATATATCAGGAGTAGGCCTGGTTTCAATTAACTGGAAGAAAAAATCAGCAGTGATCTTATAAGCTAAGACCAATGTTTACAATTTTTGTTTCATGTTCCCCCCCTCCCACCCCCTATCCACTACTTCTATATATCTCCTTGTTTCAGCTGAGTATAAAGTAATTAGTATAATATATAGTGTTGCAGCTTTGCAAAATATTTACATATTTCAGGTAGAATTTTAATTCCTTCTCCTCTAAAACGAATTCACTTTAATCAATTTTAGGATCTTTGTGCAAACTTTAGAAAATTTGCAAAATTTTTGCACACTGAAGTTCGGTTAAATGGAGTGCACCGTTATTTAAAAACATATTAGCTTTTATAAAAATTGAATTGAATTGTGAATTTTAGTTTAAAACTGTTTCATTTCTGACAAATATTAAATTCTTCTTTAGAGTTTAAATTTGTATTTGATCGAAGGATGCTTGCGGTTTTAAAAATTTTCGTCGTAACTCGTTGTTC